TTTTTACTTTAAAGTGGAATTCCAGTCAAAAACTAGCTAAGTCTAAACCTATTCCCTGAAAAGTATTAAAAAGATAAAAAAAAAGAGGGAGGGGAATGATGATTACACTGACTCCATCTTTCTATGGACAATGCACTCATCAATGTTCTATGATCAATTATATCACAGAATTATCTCGTCCATCCATGATATTCCTAATGGCAGAGTTGTGTTTATTTTCTATGAATACCCAACCTTCATTTAATACCCATAAAGGCCGGCTCTTTTGGATTGTTCTGTCGATGACATTTTTAATATACAAGGCTCAGAGTTTATCACCGAACTTTCATGTCCAGTTAGGATTTAGGAAGATGATATTAAATTTTATCAAGAGGGTGACCTTATCATTGGAGGAGTGTTCACAATGTCTACTTCTACTAAAAATGATACAGATTTAGGAAGCAATGACCTGATACTTAACTGTGTGGAGTAAGTAGCATTTTATGGTAATATTTTACATTTTTATTGTTTTCTTTAAATGTGTTTTATTTTGTCAAATACACAGCTAGTGACTAGTAATAAAAGGATCATGTTAAGATGCTGATAATTTAACTTCAGTTCTTCCTTGATTACAGACCTGGGGGGGGGGGGGATATGATGCTTAAGAATGGTCTTTCTCAATAAATGAAGCCAGTAAGGAAATGTCATTAAATGGCAAATAGTATTGTTTTTTTTATCCAGTCCGGACACTTTCCCCCCCTTCCCAGTCCAGACACTTTCCCCCCCTTCCAGTCCGGACACTTTCACCCCTTTCCAGTCCGGACACTTTCCCCCCCTTCCAGTCCGGACACTTTCACCCCCCTTCCAGTCCAGACACTTTCACCCTCGTCCTTCCAGTCCGGACACTTTCCCCCCCTTCCAGTCCAAAAACACTTTCCCCCCCTTCCAGTCCAAAAACACTTTCCCCCCCCTTCCAGTCCAAACACTTTCCACCCCCTTCCAGTCCGGACACTTTCCCCCCCTTCCAGTCCGGACACTTTCACCCCCTTCCAGTCCGGACACTTTCACCCCCTTCCAGTCCAAACACTTTCCCCCCCTTCCAGTCCAAACACTTTCACCCCCCCCCTTCCAGTCCAAACACTTTCACCCCCTTCCAGTCCGGACACTTTCACCCCCTTCCAGTCTGGACACTTCCCCCCTCCCAGTCTGGACACTTCCCCCCCTTCCAGTTCCGGACACTTTCACCCCCCTTCCAGTCCGGACACTTTCCCCCCCTTTCCAGTCCGGACACTTCACCCCCTTCCAGTCTGGACACTTTCACCCCCCTTCCAGTCCGGACACTTTCCCCCCTTCCAGTCCGGACACTTTCACCCCCTTCCAGTCCGGACACTTTCCCCCCTTCCAGTCATGACACTTTCCCCCCCTTCCAGTCCGGACACTTTCCCCCCTTCCAGTCCGGGGCACTTTCCCCCCCTTCCAGTCCGGACACTTTCCCCCCTTCCAGTCCGGACACTTTCCCCCCCTTCCAGTCCGGACACTTTCCCCCCCCTTCCAGTCCGGACACTTTCCCCCCTTCCAGTCTGGACACTTTCCCCCGTTCCAGTCCAGACACTTTCCCCCCCTTCCAGTCCGGACACTTTCCCCCCCCCCTTCCAGTCTGGACACTTTCCCCCCCTTCCAGTCTGGACACTTTCCCCCCCTTCCAGTCTGGACACTTTCCCCCTTCCAGTCTGGACACTTTCCCCCCCTTCCAGTCTGGACACTTTCCCCCCTTCCAGTCTGGACACTTTCCCCCCCTTCCAGTCTGGACACTTTCCCCCCCTTCCAGTCCGGACACTTTCCCCCCCTTCCTGTCCGGACACTTTTACCCCTTTCCTGACCAGGGCAATTTTCAGCTTTCAGCGCTCTCACACTTTGAATAACAATTGCGCGGTCATGCAACACTGTACCCAAATTAATTTTTTACCATTTTTTTGAGACAGATAAAGCTTTATTTTGGTGGTATTTATTCACTGCTGGGATTTTTTTTTTTTTTGCTATGTAAATTAAAAAGTCCAAACATTTTGAAAAAAAGTGTTTTTTTTTTATAAAATTTTGCAAATAAATAATATTTCATCATAAATCTTGGCCAAAATTTATTCCGTTATCTTTTTAGTAAAAAAACAAAATCCAAATTAGTTTATAACCAAAAATTATAATTTTTAAACTTTGTTTTTACATTTTTATTTTATTTTTTTATATTATTATTTTTTATTTTTATTTTATTTTTTTTTTTAGACATACTGTCACCCTAGCAGTACAGTGTCACCATGGTGACACTGTACTACTTGTGGGGGATGATGAAGATTTTTTTTTTTTTTTTTTTTTTTTTTTTTTTACACTGATTGCTTTTACACCCATATAGGCTGTAAAAGCAATCATTTCTCCTTCTCTCTGGCTGCATTTTTGCACTCATTGAGAAATACTGTGTGAGTTGTGATTGGTCACAGCTTGTCACATGGTACAAGGCTGTTGTGAATAGCCTTGTACCATGTGACCTCTGTGATCATTCACAGATTTCACACATAGTAAGCAATGATGTCTTGCTTACTACTCTGCATGTGATCACTGATTGGCCAATCAGTGATCACATGATCGGGACCTCGTACAGAGGTCCTGTCCGATGATCGGTGTTGCACCGGATCATGGTGCTGCTGCGTGCTCCCAGGAAGCGCGCACAAGCAGGGGGCAGGGAGGCCATTTATAAACAGCCACCCGACCCTGCACTGCCACCGTCCGGCCGTTTATATAGAACGGTCGGGAAGTGGTTAAGTCATATTAGGTAATCTGAATGATAAATAAACACAGTATATATATTGCTCAAAAATATTAAAGAAACGCTTTGAACACACATCAGATCTCAATGGGGAGGAATCTCCTGCTGGATCTCTATACTGACATGGACGGAGTAATGTGTTAGGAACGTAAGTATGCCCCATTGTTTGATGGAAATGAAAATGATCGACCTACAGAGGACTGAATTCAAAGACACCCCGAAAATCAAAGTGAAAATATGATGCAGCAGGCGAGTCCATTGTGCTGAAATGTCATTGCAGCAACTCAGAATGGTCCTCAGTAGTTTGTGTGGCCCCCACGTGCTTGTATGCATGCCTGACAACATCGGGGGAGGCTCCTAATGAGACCACGGATGGTGTCCTGGGGGATTTCCTCCCAGATCTGGATCAGGGCATCACTGAGCTCCTTCTGGATAGTCTGAGGTGCAACTTGGTGGCGTCGTATGGACCAAAACATGACATCCCAGAAGTGTTCAATTGGATTTAGGTCAGGCGAGCGTGGGGGCCATTCAATGGTATCAATTCCTTCATCCTCAAGGAACTGCCTGCATACTATCTCCACATGAGGCTGGGCATTGTCGTGCACCAGGAGGAACCCAGGACCCACTGCACCAGGAGGAACCCAGGACTCACTGCACCAGGAGGAACCCAGGACCCACTGCACCAGCATAGGGTCTGACAATGGGTCCAAGGATTTCATTCCGATACCTAATGGCATTCAGGGTGCCATTGTCTAGCCTGTAGAGGTCTGTGCGCCCCTCCATGGATATGCCTCCCCAGACCATCACTGACCTACCACCAAAACGGTCATCCTGAACCATGTTACAGGCAGCATAACATTCTTCATGGTGCCAGGCAGTGAGCACAGGGCCCACTAGAGAAGGTTGGGCCCTCAGGTCACCTTCATGAAGTCTGTTTCTGATGGTTTGGTCAGAAACATTTGCACCAGTGGCCTGCTGGAGGTAATTTTGCAGAGCTCTGGTAGTGCTCATCCTGTTCCTTGCACAAAGGAACAAAGGAGCAGATACCGGTCCTGCTGATGGATTAAGGACCTTCTACGGCCCTGTCGAGCTTTCCTAGAGTAACTGCCTGTCTCCTGGAATCTCCTCCATGCTCTTGAGACTGTGCTGGGAGACACAGAAAACCTGTGTCAATGGCACATATTGATGTGCCATCCTTGAGGAGTTGCTTGTGCAACCTCTGTAGGGTCCAGGTATGGCCTCATGCTACCAGTAGTGACACTGACCCTAGCCAAATGCAAAGCTAGTGAAAAACAGTCAGAAAAGATGAGTAGGAAAAGAAATGTCAGTGGCCTCCACCTGTAAAACCATTCCTGTTTTGGGTGTCATCTCATTGTTGTCCATCTGGTGCACCTGTTGTTAATTTCATGAACACCAAAGCAGCTGCTGAAACTGATTAACAACCCCCTCTGCTACTTACCTGACCAGATCAATATCCCAGGAGTTGATCTGACTTGATGCTAGATTAAAAAGTGTACCTTAATGTTTTTGGGCAGTGTAGATTGTAAGGGCCTTAAATGTGGAGCTTTCAAGAGCTTGGACCATTTTTATTCATCAACAAAGTTGTACAGAACTAGCAGGGGCTCTCACCATCTCATAGAATATAAAACCTTTAGCTTCCTATTTTGCTTTGTTTAGACCCACGATCTGTCTCCATAGAGACAATAAATGTTATCCTCAGGTGATGGCCTGGACAGATTTGTCTATATCAAAGGCCAAACAGGCTAGAACACAGAGACACACAAATTCAGTGTGTATGTCCATATATTGGTACCTGCAGCATGACCCTGATGAGGAGGAAGGGCCCCTGGCTGGCAAGCCTGACCCCCTTTTCTGGGTCCACACTTACACACACATATGATTCCACTGAGTCTTACATCTAATTTCATTGCTGAATCAGGAATTAACTGCATCTTTCCATTGTGACAGCGCTAAACATGTATTGTGACAGGATGATGCCATCTCACAGTGGAAAATGCCTCTTAGAGTTTAGTTTGGCAGGAGAGACTGAAGTGATGGATCATGAAAGGGTTGCGTGCAGGGGCGGACTGACCATTTGGAAAACTTGGGCACTGCCCGAGGACCCGGGGTCAGTAGGGGGCCCCATGAGATGCCCCTGGTACCTTTTTCATAGGCTTTTTTCAGTTTAGGCAAGGACACAGGGGTCCCATGATCCCCTATTGCCCGGGGGCCCCATGAGTTGTCAGTCCACCTCTGGTTGCGTGTTACCTAGGGTTCTCAGCCATACAGGGTGAGGGGCTCTGTGATGAACTAGGAGCACAGAGAGAGAGCACACAGAGGCAGATCACACAAAAACCAGACGTGCGGGCATTTATTGGGGAGACGCAAGGTACAGACAATAGAAAAACTAGTCCACAGAACAAAACAAGACACCACAATGAAGAATGATTCTCAGGATGGCAACATGGGGCAGCAGAGGGCAGGGAGTCCACAGGGAAAACAGGACAGAGCAATGAGGGGCACAACAGGATGGTAAGTTCATAGAACACAGGGCAAAGGGTTCCGGGCAGAATAGAGTTAAGTCCAGCACACAGGGCACAGTGTTCAGGGCAGAATAGGGTTAAGTCCAGCACACGGGTCAAAGGGATCTGGGCAGAAAAGGGTTAAGTTCAGCACACAGGTCAAAGGGATCTGGGCAGAATAGGGTTAAGTCCAGCACACAGGGCAAAGTGTTCAGGGCAGAATAGGGTTAAGTCCAGCACACGGGTCAAAGGGATCTGGGCAGAAAAGGGTTAAGTTCAGCACACAGGTCAAAGGGATCTGGGCAGAATAGGGTTAAGTCCAGCACACAGGTCAAAGTGATCTGGGCAGAATAGAGTTAAGTCCTGCACACAGGGCAAATGGTTTGGGGCAGAATAGGGTTAAGTCCAGCACCCAGGGCAAAGGGTTTGGGGCAGAATAGGGTTAAGTCCAGCACACAGATCAAAGTCCTTGGCACAGTGTGGCACTCCAGTACATCAGGGCCTAGTCCAGAGTCAAAAGCACCAATACAGGCCCAGGGAGTAGAAGGCCACACACCGATACAGTAAAGTCCGGGGCACAGGGCAGCAATTCAGGGACTCATCAGTGGCCTCAGCAGAGGAAGTCTAGGCAGACAGGCATGGAGAAGGAGGTCCAGAGTACAGACTTCTCATGGGTCTTCAGAGGACTGTGTGTCCTGGCAGCAGCTTCAAGACCACATAGACAGCAGTTGACAGAAGAGCAGAGGGTAGAATAAAGTCCCAGTGTCTGGAAAGCCACACAAACAATGTAAGAACTACAAGTACCAGCTGTGCAAAAGCAAATCACAGCCCATACAGATCTGTCTCAGCAGTTTAATGCATCTCCTAGCAAGGCCTGCAGCCATGAGCGCCTCTGTCCATCACGACTGAAGCTCTGCACATTCTGAGAGTTTTTTCCCAGCATAGGGACATTATATTGTCCTTATAATTTGACCAAACCTCAAAGCCCCCGGTGCTGATATGCTTGGCTTTCCCCAGCCACAGGACACCGTGCTGTTTGTGCCTTCTGCTGAGATCAACCTCATCTCCCACCCCCTGCGGGGCACAGGAACTCATAGATATAATTAAGCAGACAAGTTGACTGCTGGACACACTTGTTAATTTCAATGAAACAACACAAAAATAACATAATATTTCTGATCTCCGTCACAGACTCCCAAAACATGAAACAAGATTGTTGGTTTGCTCAAAGCTTGATAAATCCTAGTTTTTCGTCCTTGAACTTAGGGGCTTTGTAGAGCCTTTGGAGGGATGAGGTCTCTAACCACCACGGGTCCACATTTTGCGAGCAACCAAATTCCACTGATTGTTAACCATTAGCCGCCCAGCCAATGGCCGTTTGGCGGCTGCAAAAGCGCTTCAGAATTCCGGGTGCACGCCATTTGGCGTGCTCCCGCACATGCGCAGTTCGCGCCGTTCCAGAGCCGCGCAGCGGCTCGATCTGTCACCGGCCGTGTACCTCGGACACGGCCGATGACAGATCTGAGTACCGGCCCCCGTTGCTGGTACCATGTGACCTGCTGTGACCAATCACAGCAGGTCACATGATAGTTGTATACAATGGATGGCTTCATTCATGCCATCCATTGTATACTAGTGCCTAGCTGTGAATGGTCACAGCTAATCACATGCACATGTCATATGATTAGCTGTGACCAAATCACAGCTAAGCACAAAAAAAAAACCCCAGAATGAATCCATTTCATTCAGGTAAATGCTTGCTTATAGCAAAGTAATTCTTTGCTATAAGCAAATTGTGTAAAAAAAAAAAAATACTGATCACTTCCCCAAAGTAGTACAATGTTACTATGGTAACATTGTACTACTTTGGTCATAGTGAAATATGAAAAAAAAAATCTTAAAAAAAATAAAAAAAAATGTAATAAAAAATAAAATAAAAAAAAAAATATATTTTTTTTTTTCATACTGTCACCAGTCAGTGTCCCTGATCACCGCCATGCCAGTTATATGATGACGCTGTACTGCACTGGTGACAGGAGGTAAAAAAAAAAATAGTGAAAATTTTTATGTTAATTTTTTCATTTTCCGAAAAATTAGGACAAAAAAAATACAACTTCAAAAAACTCGCCATTCCTCTTATGAAGTACGTCAGACTGTCTGCTCTGCAAAAAGGGGTCATTTGGGGGATATCTGTACTGTCCTGACATTTAGGGGATATCTGTACCGTCCTGACATTTGGGGGATATCTGTACTGTCCTGACATTTGGGGGATATCTGTACTGTCCTGACATTTGGGGGATATCTGTCCTGTCCTGACATTTGGGGGATATCTGTCCTGTCCTGACATTTGGGGGATATTTGTCCTGCCCTGACATTTGGGGGATATCTGTACTGTCCTGACATTTGGGGGATATCTGTACTGTCCTGACATTTGGGGGATATCTGTACCGTCCTGACATTTGGGGGATATCTGT